ATTTCGGAAACGGTGGCTCTTAGGACAAAAAGTATTTAGACATTTGTTATAGATAATTATCTGACCTACACTTTTTGTCTAAACTAATTTTATGATATACTTACCGTTTTGCTGAAAATCGCGAAAAACCCGTTTTTGTGACCTTTGACCCCGAGTAACTTTTTTTCCAGGTATCGGATCGATGAGGACTTTTTAGATTTCATTTATGATGGTGTTTTGAACAATCCTACCAATTTTCAGCTGGGTGGGAATTTTTGTAACCTCGAATGTCTACATTGACCGGACTAATTATATGTTTTTTGTTTTGTTATTTTGATTTTACACATATGTGCAGTGACGAGCAAAACTGTAACATGGTGTATCGCTTTTTATATCAGCCGCCGCTTTCTTTCCAAGTTCTAGCGACGTTCTTACTTTTGTTGTATATTCTTATTGGTACATTGGTGCATATTTGTTTTTTTAGTTTCTGGATGCAATTTGGAATACCTTAAGTGTATCTCTGTAAAAATTCTGGAGATAGATCCTTGGTTTGCTTTCACAGCTCATGTATCCATTGGCGGACTTGGATACTGAGTAAGCTGCGATTTTAGTTGATATGGAAAATTTTCGACGAGATTCATATCCGCGGATTGTGGAGGTCATTTCAAATTAGCAAATTTTTGCTTTTGCATCCAGTCTTTGCGAACATGCGCAGTGTGTTTTGGGTGATTTTTCAGCAGAAACTCTCATTTTTCGACTACATCTTGCCAATTTTGTTGAAATATGAACAGCTACTGTTCCTTACGCATAACGCGTACTAACGGACCAAAAAAATTTTTGAAATACAACCCCAAACTATTATTGACTGACCACTGTGATTCACAGTTTGCCTTGCATGATGCGCTTAGGCTTAATTTGGGTCTTTGATCCAATACCATGCCCGGCCATCTGATTGAAAGCGATTAATTAAGTCTTGTGAGACCAACAAACCTTCAATTAAATCTTAAAAATGCGTTTTTATTGCATTCTGTAAGGCCTAATATATCCCAATAGGCAACGGTCCGGTTTTCGTGCGATCCAGCAAAATGCTACCATTCTCGCACATGTATTTTGATCAAAATGGTCTTTCTACTTTTATTATGCCGTTGCGTTCAATTTGACAATTCTTCACCTAGCTGTCTACTGCTTTGCTTGCAATTTTAATACCCTAAGCGCTTCTGTAATAGTGGCTGCAGCGCTACTTGCTACTATGTTCACAAGATATCGGACCGTAATATTTTTTGCCGACTTCCTTTGTCCTTAGTAACACTTTAGGCTATATTTTTTCTCAGTCTTAACATTTTCATGTGGCGAACTCCACAATTTTTTGCCACTTTTCCTACGGTCCCGCCTTTCCGCAGTAAATCTATTATTTACATTTATGTTTCCTGATTAACCATATTATTTACTGGTAATCGCTTCTTGAATAAATTACAATACAGAAAAAAGTCATCTGACTTCCAACAAATTAAAAGATAACTATAAAATGCAATACTGTGAGTGAGTGCAAAACTGTAACATTTGTCTTAATTTACATTTTTGCCTGCAGGTTTTATTATTGTTGTTGGATAGAGTTCAAATCTTTATGAGAGAGGGAGTAGCGGTGTACCAATAAGAATATACAACAAAAGTATGAAAGTCGTTACAACTAGGAAAGATAGCGGTGGCTAAAATAAAAAGTGTTACACCATGTTACAGTTTTGCTCGTCACTGTATGTATGTACATTCGTTAATAAATTCAAGGAACTGAAATACAAAATTTTAGTTTTTTTGGTATGGAATTAGCAAGTGCGGGAATTCCACCACATCTGGGAAATTCTCGGGGCCAACGGGGATAAAAAAAATGAGTTGGCATAAAGGAATAAAGGAATCACAGAAGAAGGATTGGCTATACCTTTTTCATGAAGATAAAACCATATTTAGTATTTTTCCCTCCGCTACATATGGGGACGCAACACTGTGCGTCGCTAGCTAAGCTCGTGAAATGCGACAGTAAAGTAAACGCTAGCCACACTTCCATTTTTTGGGGATCTGAAGAAAATTTTAATTTTTATCTGCGACTTTAATTTTATATACAGCACAATAACCACTGTTGCCACTTGGTGCTTTTCGCACTAAATTTAGAGCTTTTCTTTATTCACAACGCGAAAATTTTTGTGTTAGTGCTTGGTGCTTTTGTTTTTGGTTTTAAGACACCAAATCTGGAAATCTTAAAAAAGGGGGGCAAATTTATAGCAATCGTAAGTTTTTTAAGCAACTTTAAAAAAATGGAAACAAAACCATGTCACAATGACAATCATATGTGGCAACATACAAAATATGTGGCAGCGCTTTCAATCATGCCAGAATTACATTCAGTAATTCGCCAATGCTGGGAGTAGGAAGCGACCTTTGGACCTTTAGTTTGGGCTGAAATTGTTATAGTTTTTTACGACTATTCAAAAAAGCAACAGCATCTCCTAACAGTAAAATTATTATCTGACGAGCCTTTTGAAAAAAGAGAATAATCGAAACCAGGTGGAATTTGAAGAGTATACAGCGTTCTTTAACACAAAAATATTTTTCCCCACTATGCGCCAGTGGATAATACGCTCAAATAAGACACATTAAATAGGGAAATGAAATATCGTTCTATTTCAGATGTTAAGCTGTCGGAAAGAAAATGTCTTTACTTTCCTTTAGTTAACGAGATCATAAGAGACTGCAGTGTAGATTTAAACTATGTAGTTAAACTTCATTGTAATCAAACAAATTTCAGTTCCAGACTGCAACCACTTACATCCTCTACATTTGGAAATATACATATACATACATATGTATATATTTTTCGATCAAACTCATTTTATTTTCTGCTTTGTGTTTCAGCTTCTCGCCAGCAAACGAGGCTAATAAAGAACCTCGCTTTTTAAAATTCAAAACTTGGCAACACTGACAATAACAATTTTTCTAAAGCAAAAGATCGTTGAGTTTTAAACAAAATTCTTAATAAGTCTAAAATTACTGTAGCTATTTTTGAAATCGGGGGACAAAACTTCATCAAGTGCCATTAAAATATATTAAATTCCCCACTGACTTACGGCAAAATATTGACCGCTTTGTGAAAAATTCCATGAATTTGCTAAACTTTAGGGCCTTTGAGGCACGTCTCTCCGTTATCCGATATTAAAACTTTTTCGCAGGTCACGTTTTTATGACCAAATGAACCCTTTTGGGGGGAGTCTTGCTTTGTAGGACAAAGTTGAAAAATAAGGCGCAGTCTACTGCACATGCACGATGATATTCATTGAATTATTTTGTTAAACTATAACTACATAGGGGATCGAAGGGTGTTATTGACCACATAAGGAAAAATGTCTGTAGAAAAAACGGAAATCTGAATTTTTTCTCATTGGTAAATGGATAACGCAGGCCAACAAAAGCATAAAAAATATATGTGGTACGCATATATGTAATACTACTATATTGGCAGTAAGAGCTAGTACCGTCCGAAAACACTACAGTACAGATATATCAATAAACACGTACGAAAGAAAAGGAACACATACGTTTATAAATAAACACGTACACGACACATTTACAAAAACGGCACTCAAGTACACAATACATTTATAAAAACGGTACTAGACTGTCTCGCTTTGATTTCGGAATGCTTACACATTGAAATGTTAGCTTACTACCAATATAGAAGTATTACATATATGGTGGTACGGCATAAAGTTTCCATCAGTTCCAGATTTTGAAAAAAAAAAACAAATAAGCAAAAGGTGATAGAACCTGGCTTAAATTAAACCTCGACTACTATCTCTCAAAAGAGATCTTAAATATTTGAGACCTTAAAATATTGTTTAACATTATTATCTTAAACTATAGAAAATTTGTATGCATCTTTCCCTCCACATGGGGGCTTAAGTACGAAATGCTCTCACCAAAGTGAATAAACTGCCCAAAACCACGGGAACACAAAAAACAAATGTTCGTGCCTAAAATTAAGAGCACAACCAGCCACCGACGTAAAACCGTAGACAGTGTCAGCTGACACGGCCTATCTTATGGGATTCTCGTGTTAACGAAAACACCGCTGCATGACGATGACGTTGTCGTTGCATCTCTTTCTCTCTATCAAAAGCAATTTCATATATCGAAACGGACGGCACGTACGGAAGGGCACTTAATGTCAAATCGCACAAAACTACTAAAAAAGACAAAAGATTTGAGCGGCAGCAAACTCAATAACTTTAATAATTGCTCATTTGATATTTTTTCCCTTATAAAAAGAAAGAAAAACAGCTAAATATCGATGGCTGATCGACCTATCTCGGCAGCCAGTTCGAAAACGCCCTATCTCAGAAAACTTTTAAAGAACGCCATACTTCAGAATGAAATTGAGGAATGCCCTCTTTCAGAACTTTATTGAAAAACACCCTGAGTTCTGAGATAAGGCGTTTGCAATCAAATTCTAAAATAGAGCGTTCTTCAACCAAATTCTGAAATAAATGGTTGTGTAATAGGGTGTTTTCGAACGGGCTGCCCAGATAGGTCGATCTTTCACTCAGCCATCGATATGCACATATTTATTAGCTAAAATTTTAATGCTAAAAATGTTTCCTCTTCTTCTGGCAGTTTGAAAAATAGTCCGGCCGACTACGGGCTAGTGAGAAGCAAATATTATTCGCTCAAAGTTGCCTTCAACAGCCCGAGAACCAACCAAAGAAACACAAATTGGGCACTTTCGGGCACCTTCGGACGAGCAAAAGAACAGAGTTATTGTGCGTCCCGATTTAAAGAATGCAAAAGTTGGCAACCCTGGTGCATGCCCCATTGAAATACATGTGCGCAGCTCAAAATTTGAGGTCGAGAGGATAACACAACTATGATTGGACGACAAATGTGCAAAAAGCCTAATTCTACTCTTGAAAGATTGAAGGCGTGCTCTCTTGGTCTACTCTTGAAAGATTGAAGGCGTGCTCTCTTGGTCTACTTACATTTTTCCTTCGATTGTTTTCTCCATTTCAATGATGATTGCTGACAATTTCTTTAAAAAATCCGGAGCGTAAACGATAACTATTTCGTCCTGCGTTATTCTTCGGTTTACTAATAGCATTGCGTCGCCAAAGTGTTCAGTCCAGTTCAGGAATGGTGCTATTTTTTCTAAATCCACCAAATTCATCGGATGATACATAGCTTCTTCGTTACGACGTTCTTCAAGTGGCATTGAAATGTTCGCTAATTTCGATTCAAACGCAATCACTGCTTCCATCTGGCGACGGGCGTCTGATTCAACAGCGCCCAGTAGAACACAAACTTTCGTCATATATTCTATATAGCCGTCTAAGACTCTGCGGTGGATTTCGGTTTTGTTGTTGTAATAGTCAGGTGTCGGCAGTGTTAAACCACCCTGATCGATTTGTATGGCATGGCGGGAAGAATTTTTATCATCCTCACCGACTGCCCACGCAAAAAGACAATTGAAATTGTACCTGAAAAATATGAAGCAAATGTGTGTATTTATATACCTAAACTCATACATAAAATTATAATATTTTGTTGAAATAAGAAACAATACGTACAGATACAGTATCGGTCATATCTATAGCACACCATTTCAAAGTGATATTGTGTGCAACTTATGTTTATTTATTTATTTTTAAGAATTTTCAATTAAAATACAGTTCTTTCTCTAATAAACCCCTTATAAACCCAAGTTTAACAATTGGTAGAAGACTTCAAAAAAGTGCAACAAATTTTCACCTAAGTTTCAAACTTTTTTCTCGGAAGTGTTAGAATTTTTTTGAGTACACTGTTTTTTAGCCCCTGCAATTTTAGTCTGATAATGTGCAAATTTCAAGAGGCTACGAATTACCGTTAATTTTTTAGAATTTTTTTTTGTCGCATTGGCTTCCATATTATGAATAAACTCAATTTATTTGTATATGCATGAAAACCGCAACACCGCACAACTTGCACATTATCAGACTAAAATTGCAGGGGCTAAAAAACTGTGTACTCAAGAAAATTCTAACACTTCCGAGAAAAAAGTTTGAAACTTAGGTGAAAATTTGTTGCACTTTTCTGAAGTTTTCTACAAATTGTTAAACTTGGGTTTATATGGGGTTTGTTAGAGAAAGAACTGTATTTTAATTGAAAATTCTCAAAAATAAACAAATAAACATAAGTTGCACACAATATCACTTCGAAATGGCGTGCTATAGATATGACCGATACTGTATATATATATATATATATATATCTTTTTTAAATGCAAAACGTATTTACATAACTTAATCTCACACGCTTTAGGTGAGCTTTTGGGTGTAGGGAGAATATTCGTTCTTAATTCGGCCACACTGAGTCTCGATATTACTCACGATTTCTTGAGACAGTTTTACGACCAAAGATCAAATCAAATTTGTCTCTCGCATAAAAGGAAAAGATTATTTGTATGTATGTATACCTAGAACAACCCTCAGTTTTACTTTTGAATGTCAGTGAGAAGTTTATATCTCATCCCGTCAGGTTATATCCCTCTAATATCCTCTTGCCCATTTCCATCTTATCTTCCTTACCTCAAAAAATTGTTCAGATGAAGTTAGAGTTGAGAATAACCTGCCGGACACTCATACTTTTCTTAGTTTTTAATGGGGCCAGTTGACCTTAAAATGTATTTAGTTTAGTTTATTACTATAACACAATTGCGATGTTAGCCAACAGTTAATTTATAGCTAGATAAAAACTAATTACATATCAGCATATTAGCTAACTTCAAAGCAACTATGTAATTTTAAGTTAGTTGAGAAGTGAAGGGTCGGAAAATTGACTAATGCCTAGGACATCGCAATGTTAAAATATTCAGTTGGCTCCATTAGAAAGTAAGCTTAGTATCAACCACCTCTAATGAGTTGCAAGAGTGCAACTAGCCAACAATGTATATCTCTGGGGAAAATAAGGTGAGATGATGCCGCGAACGGATATTGGACTCGTCAATTTATTTACAGCGTTGAGGCTTGGAAATAAGAAGAGTGGTGATGTACTGAATCGATACTTTTAAGTATTGATCGATACTCGGTACCGATTTAAAAAGTATCTAATACTTTCCATACTCAATGCCGATATTTTGGTATTTATAATAAGAACGCACATTATCCAAGAATATGGAATAAAAGCAATTCAGGGGAGCTTTAATTTCCGAATATAATCCAAACGGAAAAATGTAATGTATAGTAATCGAAAAAATAATCAGCAATGACCCTTTTCCCATTCGAAAATGCATTTTTTCCCAGGGCGATGTCCTAAGAAAAGTGGGGCATTAAATTTTGCATTATTTGTTTTAATATGAAATTTTTGGAACTTTTTGAATACATTAGAATGCTGATTACATAGTTAGCAGTAATATACTCGAGAACACATAAGAAATACATTATGTATATTATTTATCACGCATGTAATGCATTACTACTTTTCCGACTGAGATGATAAACCAATATACATTTTCCTTATTTGTAGGTTTTATGACAGTTGTGCGATAAAACACCGGAATGGGTGCTTCTCTAAATCTTCTTGCAGAGTTTCCCTCAAAACCACAATACATGAAAAAGTATGTAATTTATTATATATCATTTATGATCAACAGGACCGAAAATTTTAAGTTTTTGCTTGGAATTGCCTATTTTGCTTATTTTAATGTATAAAGGCAAGTATGCATCTTTTAAGGAAATGGTAAAGAAAAAATTTTCATTATTTCGTGTGTGTGAATAGAAGTGGCCATGGAATTTTGACATCTGATATTTCACAGCCTGCTGTCTCACTCTTTCCTCCCGAAATATGGGAACGGGTATATATTTCTGTTGAAAACATGAATACCAACCATGTTCCAACTCTTGATTCAAAAAAAAAACTTTAGAAAATTGTAGTAGAAAGCTTAGCAAATTTCTTACGAACTCCGTGCTGCTTTAAAAAATTTGGCTTAATCAATTTTTCTTGAACATTTTTTAGCGTTTTTTATATGGAAATTTTACAGTTCTTGAGATCTGAGTTCAACGCTTAAAACTTCAAAAGCGAGTGGTACTGATAACGATTATCCTTGTATTCTCGACTAAACGAATGTTTATAAACAACAACATAAAAAAAGATTTGGTTTTCATTAACTCCAACTTCAATAGAGTTTCAGGTGGAATAGAGTTATTCCAAACCAAAGATTTGTCTCTGCGGGAAGGCATTCGTGTTATTGAAGAGTTTAAAAATAATACATTTTTATTGTTTTTCGAGCACATCGCACACGATCTTCAAAGGTGACAAAACTCAAAATTTAGCATTTTTGCAAGATAAAGTTTTCCTTACCCATATGATTGGCATGAAGCCGTGCAATAAAGCCATAGGAAATAACGCCAAATGGCTCTATTTCATTTCACATGGAGAAATAAGACCATGTTTCCGCTGCGTTGGCTCGCCACCCCGCGCCATGCTCGCGCCCGCGATCGATCATTTATTTCAAAGAAATTTTTATTTATGTTGGAGACAATTATAATTTGTGGAAAGTGAAGTAAAACGAAGTAAAATGAAGTGATGAAGTGAAGGATTCCTAAGTGAAGTGAAAAACTTCAATTGAAGTGACAGCGGCAGCACTGGTTGTGCCACCTTTGAAGATTGTGTGCGATATTTGCAAGCAATGTTTTAAGTAAGCTTAGTAAAGCAAGCGCTTAAGACTATGTTCAAACACGCCAATTAGCTGAGGCAATTAAGCTTTAAATTGCGCCATTGAGTTTGGTGTTCACACACACGTCAGCTGCGCAATTAGCGACACGAAATCAGCTGCTGGATTACCTACAGTATGGAAAAGTTGGTACAAACGTACCTTTATTTAGTTTGAAAGTACATTCGGTACAAACACACAATTTTAGGTACATTTGGAACGTAGCCAAATAACTTCTCAGGAAATCAGTTGTTATTATTATTGATATTTCAATGCATTTTCTGGTGCGGGCAACTGGTCTAATAGCTTCCCTCCTTTGTGAAGAAACATACAAATGATACAGAAGGGTGGTCAAAGTAACGCAACTGTAGTTGATTTCGCCAGATAAACGGAAAATATTTCTTTTTAAAACGTCAGATCGAAGAACTGGGAGAAAAGTTATTCACCATTTCTACAACATAGTTTTGTTTCGCGCTGCTCGAAGAGAAAAGAATAGCCAAAATTTGTTTAATGTGAGTGCAGAACTTGATATAGTATCGATGGGAATTGTTATCCTCCTATTTTCCTTATATAGAAATACATATTTACTTTTTAGGTACATCTATATACTTTTATCTAAAGTTTTCCGTAAATTAGGTACAATTTTGTAATTTAATTTTCCATCCCTGATGGAATATCAGCTGTAAAAGAGGACCAGAAACAAGCAGCTGACTGCTCTTTGTTCAATAAACATACCTCCTAGTCAAAATTAAACATGCCTAGCAGGGGTTGCATAGAGAATTTGACACAAATGAATTGCCAATTAATTATCAAGAACTTTGAACCTTCAAGGATATGAAATTCAGTGCGATATAGACTAATAGTAGAGACATCCAGTAAAGAGAAAATTTTTAATATTGTTTTTTTATTCTAAACTAATAAAGTAAAAAGGACAATTTCATACCCTTTTGCACAAAACCAGCTAATTTTCTTTAAATTTTATCTTTTGATACTGATATTGTCATTCTTCATTGTACTGAATTTTTTTTAAATAATTGTTTCAATTAATCAAATTCTTGAAATTTCCAAGCCAAAAAAAAAATTCCTTACGATCAGAGAGAAAAGCTAATAAATATAGTTTAAAAAAACACGCTTTTAAAGCATATCAAACTAAAAAGTAAAAAATAATTCTTAATATAAGTTGAAAATAATAATGAAAAAAATACTAGTATTATTGTGAAAAAGTGTGGGTTGCTCGATAGACGAAAAATATGGCAAAGAGCACCCCACGCTTTTTCACAATAATACTAGTATTTTTTGTTCATTACTATTTTCAGCATATATTAAGAATTATTTTTTACTTTTTAGTTTGATATGCTTTAAAAGCGCGTTTTTTAGTTTTTTTAAACTATATTTATTTTTAATTTTTTACTTCGATTATTGTTAAAAATAAAATTTTTTCTAAATGCTAGAGTGCTCGAGCCGGAAAGTAAGTAGACGGTACGCATGCGCAGACAGCGTGGTTGTTTTACTTGCTCTCATACAGAGGCAAATGTGAGGAAATTATTTAATCCTGGCGATCCTAATTAGGATAATGAGATAAACTTATGAAATTATTATATTGTCGCTGATTTTTGATAAGTGTACAAAGTTTGAATTAAATCTGTCCGTTTAAAGTGGGTCAAAATCGAGTCCAAAGGAGTCGGTTACAAACATACATACATACATACATACATACCCCTGCAAAAAATTTTTTGACTAATCTCTAAAGAGAGTATTCCGAGATTACTCTCAATCGGGTACAATTGGGCA